AGTATAGCTCTGTCCCCCCAGGTTACAGTATAGCTCTGTCTCCCCAGGTTACAGTATTGCTCTGTCCCCCCAGTTACAGTATTGCTCTATCCCCCCAGTTACAGTATCGCTCTGTCCCCCCAGTTACAGTATCGCTCTGTGCCCCCAGTTACAGTATTGCTCTGTCCCCCCAGTTCCAGTATAGCTCTGTCCCCCCAGGTTACAGTATAGCTCTGTCTCCCCAGTTCCAGTACTGCTCTGTCCCCCCAGTTCCAGTACTGCTCTGTCCCCCCAGTTACAGTATTGCTCTGTCCCCCCTAGTTACAGTATAGCTCTGTACCCCCAGGTTACAGTATAGCTCTGTCCCCCCAGGTTACAGTATAGCTCTGCCTCCCCAGTTACAGTATTGCTCTGTCCCCCCAGTTACAGTATTGCTCTGTCCCCCCAGTTCCAGGATAGCTCTGTCCCCCCAGGTTACAGTATAGCTCTGTCTCCCCAGTTCCAGTATTGCTCTGTCCCCCCAGTTACAGTATTGCTCTGTGTGGCAGAACCACTGCTTAGTTGTGTGTTTTCCTCTTATATTGTGTGTTTCCCCTTGTATGACTGGGTGGTCCTTGTTCGTTTGAATGAATACATGTCGACGGCCATTTTAAACTGATGAATGCCCAGCGGTGTTTGGCCATCGACCGCGTGGAACTATTTTTGGCCACAATTTCCCACGAACACCGCTGGAACATCCATCGTTTCGTCTCCATTTAACCGAACGCCGTGCCGTTCGGTACATTCAGAACATACGAACTGAACCGACCCAGATAGCTAAATCCATGGAGCTAATTCTGGGCGTATTTCTAACGAACAGCCGGTGAACAGACTCTTTAGCTCCATGGCGATTTGACTGTGTTCGTGGGATCTGAGCGCTGTTCGTCTATATTGAGTGCTCAGATCCAAGCTATCTGGGGATATATCGAATGTGGGGGTTCCTTTCAGTAAAAAATTAGTTATGTATTTTATTGTATTTTGTTACATTTGTAAAATGGAAACATTTTATCTACCTGGAGATAATTAAGTTTACTCTGGCCACTCAACCCATTTATCCTTAGAATAGAGAGGAGGGATTTCACTGTTTATGTGGGTGTGTTTTATATTGCATTGTAAAATGATTGTTAACGGTAACTTGTGTTTCAGTCCTCCACAAGGTCCCTGTGGGAGTATCCCTTGCTGGAGGACCTGCATAAAAGGCCAAGCTGTGGCCACCATTAAACAGATCGTTTTACCCATTCATGAAGTCTCGACTCATGTTTGAGGGATTAAGAGCTATAATCACTACTCTGCTCTACTTCAACTGGGATTTCGGGAGAAGCTACAAGGATCTCGCCTACTGGGATACTAGGATCCGTTACACTAGGCATTACTGTTATTGGATAATATAGATTATCAGTTATTACTAGGCATTACTGTTATTGGATAATATAGATTATCAGTTATTACTAGGGATTACTGTTATTGGGTAATATAGATTATCAGTTATTACTAGGCATTACTGTAATCGGGTAATACGGATTATCAGTTATTACTAGGCATTACTGTTATTGGGTAATACGGATTATCAGTTATTATATGTGTTCTTGTTATCGGGTTATACGGATTATTAGTTATTATATGTGTTCTTGTTATCGGGTTATACGGATTATTAGTTATTATATGTGTTCTTGTTATTGGATAATACGGATTATCAATTATTATATGTGTTCCTGTTATCGGGTTATATGGATTATTAGTTATTATATGTGTTCTTGTTATCGGGTTATACGGATTATTAGTTATTATATGTGTTCTTGTTATTGGATAATACGGATTATCAGTTATTATATGTGTTCTTGTTATCGGGTTATACGGATTATTAGTTATTATATGTGTTCCTGTTATCGGTTTATACGGATTATTAGTTATTATATGTGTTCTTGTTATCGGGCTATACGGATTATTAGTTATTACATGTGTTCTTGTTATCGGGTTATACGGATTATTAGTTATTATATGTGTTCCTGTTATCGGGTTATACGGATTATTAGTTATTATATGTGTTCTTGTTATCGGGTTATACGGATTATTAGTTATTATATGTGTTCTTGTTATTGGATAATACGGATTATCAATTATTATATGTGTTCCTGTTATCGGTTTAAACGGATTATTAGTTATTATACGTGTTCTTGTTATCGGGCTATACGTATTATTAGTTATTACATGTGTTCTTGTTATTGGGCTATACGGATTATTAGTTAGTATATGTGTTCCTGTTATCGGGTTATATGGATTATTAGTTATTATATGTGTTCTTGTTATTGGATAATACGGATTATTAGTTATTATATGTGTTCCTGTTATCGGGCTATACGGATTATTAGTTATTATATGTGTTCTTGTTATCGGGTTATATGGATTATTAGTTATTATATGTGTTCTTGTTATCGGGTTATATGGATTATTTGTTATTATATGTGTTCTTGTTATCGGTTTATACGGATTATTAGTTATTATATGTGTTCTTGTTATCGGGTTATATGGATTATCAGTTATTATATGTGTTCCTGTTATCGGGTTATACGGATTATTAGTTATTATATGTGTTCTTGTTATCGGGTTATACGGATTATTAGTTATTATATGTGTTCTTGTTATTGGATAATATGGATTATCAATTATTATATGTGTTCTTGTTATCGGTTTATACGGATTATTAGTTATTATATGTGTTCTTGTTATCGGGTTAAATGGATTATTAGTTATTATATGTGTTCTTGTTATCGGGTTATATGGATTATTAGTTATTATATGTGTTCCTGTTATCGGGCTATACGGATTATCAGTTATTATATGTGTTCCTGTTATCGGGTTATACGGATTATTAGTTATTATATGTGTTCTTGTTATCGGTTTATACGGATTATCAATTATTATATGTGTTCCTGTTATCGGGTGATACGGATTATTAGTTATTATATGTGTTCTTGTTATTGGATAATACGGATTATTAGTTATTATATGTGTTCCTGTTATCGGGTTATACGGATTATTAGTTATTATATGTGTTCCTGTTATCGGGTTATATGGATTATTAGTTATTATATGTGTTCTTGTTATTGGATAATACGGATTATTAGTTATTATATGTGTTCTTGTTATTTATACGGATTATTAGTTATTATATGTGTTCCTGTTATCGGGTTATACGGATTATTAGTTATTATATGTGTTCTTGTTATTGGATAATACGGATTATTAGTTATTATATGTGTTCCTGTTATCGGGTTATACGGATTATTAGTTATTATATGTGTTCCTGTTATCGGGTTATATGGATTATTAGTTATTATATGTGTTCCTGTTATCGGGTTATATGGATTATTAGTTATTATATGTGTTCTTGTTATTGGATAATACGGATTATTAGTTATTATATGTGTTCCTGTTATCGGGCTATACGGATTATTAGTTATTATATGTGTTCTTGTTATTGGATAATACGGATTATTAGTTATTATATGTGTTCCTGTTATCGGGTTATACGGATTATTAGTTATTATATGTGTTCTTGTTATCGGGTTATACGGATTATTAGTTATTATATGTGTTCTTGTTATTGGATAATACGGATTATCAATTATTATATGTGTTCCTGTTATCGGGTTATATGGATTATTAGTTATTATATGTGTTCTTGTTATCGGGTTATACGGATTATTAGTTATTATATGTGTTCTTGTTATTGGATAATACGGATTATCAGTTATTATATGTGTTCTTGTTTTTGGACAATACGGATTATTAGTTATTATATGTGTTCTTGTTATCGGTTTATATGGATTATTAGTTATTATATGTGTTCCTGTTATCGGGTTATACGGATTATTAGTTATTATATGTGTTCTTGTTATCGGGTTATATGGATTATTAGTTATTATATGTGTTCTGTTATCGGGTTATACGGATTATTAGTTATTATATGTGTTCTTGTTATCGGGTTATATGGATTATTAGTTATTATATGTGTTCCTGTTATCGGGTTATACGGATTATTAGTTATTATATGTGTTCCTGTTATCGGGTTATATGGATTATTAGTTATTATATGTGTTCTTGTTATTGGATAATACGGATTATTAGTTATTATATGTGTTCTTGTTATTGGATAATACGGATTATTAGTTATTATATGTGTTCCTGTTATCGGGTTATACGGATTATTAATTATTATATGTGTTCCTGTTATCGGGTTATATGGATTATTAGTTATTATATGTTTTCTTGTTATCGGGTTATACGGATTATTAGTTATTATATGTGTTCTTGTTATCGGGTTATTTTGATTATTAGTTATTATATGTGTTCCTGTTATTGGATAATACGGATTATTAGTTATTATATGTGTTCCTGTTATCGGGCTATACGGATTATTAGTTATTATATGTGTTCTTGTTATCGGGTTATACGGATTATTAGTTATTATACGTGTTCTTG